ATAATGTATCTCTGTGTCTAATCAAGCCCATGCAGAATGATTGCTTTCTCTTAAGCAAGTCTGTTGGTGCTGAATTTTGGCTGCATTTAAAAAGTGCTTAATTCTTCTTATGGGCACATGCAGATGAGCTGCAGAATTTTCCTTTTCTTGCTTATTGGCCTACAGAAGCTAGCTGGCACTGTATATCTATGTTAAAAATGTTTTGACGAATATTTTTACCATTTGTGCCATTTAGAGAGGGATTCTTATGGCTTTTCAAAACTGGATCTTAATGATTAGTGCCTATGGAAACTTTTCTGGAGTTTTTTTTTGCTTCTGCAAGATGTTAGCTTGCTGTTCAGATGTGCTCTTTAAAACACCTTTCTTATGTTAAAAATGGAAATATCTCTTTGGAAAATAAAAATCAGTCAGGCTAGGCTTGAATTCTTTTGAGAGTTATTTTCTTTCACAACATCCAAGGATTTTTACAAAGATATTATTTTCCACAGGAAAAATGTCCCCTTGATGAATTAATAAAATAAAAAGATCAATCAGTACTAGGCTTTGTGTTTAAAAGGAGCCTTATAAAAGCCTAAGCTTTGAGAGAACTCAGGTCTGGATCCAAACTTTGAGAATGAGGCCGTTCCCTAGAGAAAAATGTATCATTTTAGGTCATGCACTACTAGATATATCCTTTCTTAAATAGCTTACTGAAGTCATCTGGCTCTAGCTACTGCAGACAATCAAGCAGAATGCTTTGATTTGTTCTTATTTTGATTTACGCTTGTCATTAATTAGTTCTTTTCACTATTTCTGTGGCTGTTAGGAGACTCAAGTGAGCTTGTAATTAAGTAATTAAAGCAGTTATTTTCTTACATATTTTACAGCATTTTCTTTCTCTGAAACAGATGTGATTTTACTATAATACCAAATGGACTATTAGGCTTAGGGTAGAGTATTAGATGCCTGGCATCTTCATCCATGAAAGGAGTAGAAGGAAGCGTGAATATATACAGACTCGTCAATACTTAGGTGTGAATCTGCTCCAGGCGACTCTGGCTGGCAAGTATTCTCTGGATTTTGTGGATTTGACAGTTCTAGCAGACATCCCAAAGCTCTGCCACAGCTGATACTGTTAATAGTGGTGTTGGACAGCAGGGACTGAATGGGCACTGGCACTGAACTGTGATCTTCGATGTAGGGGTAGGTTCCTCAACTTCGTCTACAGTTCGTTGGAAATACGGACAAACCATCGCAGCTGATCCCTTCCCACCAACTCACAAATGAGAATTTAGGCAAGAAAGCGAGTCCAGAAACTTAGTCTCATTGTCTGCAACAAATGTAGAAAAAATTGCACCTGATTCAGGCCATCTACTTTGACGCGTCTTCTTCCCCTCTACGGAACGGGGAAAATGTTATTGCTCTTAACAAGAGTAGACTTTCCATCATCATGGTACAGTTATGAGGATAACTAAATAAAAAGTGTGAGATGTTCCTATTCCAACCTGCCTCTTGTTACTGCAGACCTTACATTTATAATCATGAGATGGAGATTCCGTTCTGTCATGTAAAATATTTCAGCATCTTGTTTTTCATGAAGATCACAGCTAACATAGAGAACTAAGCCCAGATTAAATTGGAATAAATTCTTAACAGAAACTTTGACATATTAGTAAATGAGGAGCCTTTCCCCACCTATTCAAAAAGCTTAGCCATACACTGAAAAGTTCAGAACATCCCTGCAGCTCTGGGACCTCAGACCACACACTCATATTTAGTGGAAGCCAAAGAATGATAAGTCCATTATTTTTACAGGGTGTGATCATTCCCCCACCTGCAGAGATAAAACTATTGCTGTTAAGCTGTATTAACTCTACTTTAAAAATACATGGAAAAACACATGTGGGGTTTAAAAAAAAATAAAAAATGCAAATGGAACAAGGTCAAACACCAGACATGCTACCAGTGTTGTCTGTTAGTACACTGTGCTCATGAAAACGAAAGCTGAAGACCTCCAGTGAGTGTACTGAACCAGCAGTTATGCATTAAAAACTGAGGTGCTTTCTTCACACAGGGATTTACAACCGAGGGGAGAATTAATAAAGGCTAATTTTAGCCTGATGACACTAATCTTTCTAAGTTTATTGCGACAAAAAGAAAATGTCTTCTGTAGAGGCAATTCAGAGGAGCTAAGATAGGTTCCTGCTCTGAATCATCCTCCAGAGAAGACTCTGCACTGATTAATGCAAAATGTTTGGCTTGGCTTGGCTCCTTTCCTCTGCTACATAAAAAGTGACATTTGCTGCAGAAATAGGCAGGCCTATGGAAGCAACTAGAGCTTCATGTAAGTAGTGGGCCAGGTTCTTCTCTACATACTTCTCTCACAACTTGAGGCCAGGGGTGAGGGTCCCCCGTGTTAGGTGTTCAGTTTTGTCTGACTTCCCCCTCCAACTGCAAGCAGAAGAAAGAAGGAGCCCTTCACAAGGTACTAAATCACATGCTACTTGAGACACCTAAATGGAATATAGTGTAGAGATTCACACTTTTAGTTCAAACTTCAAGGAAAGCTTTTCAATTTTTCTAACTGCCTCAGTTTAATAGGAGCTGCTTTTTCACCCCATGGACTTACCTGACCTTGCTTTTTACCTTCCACTTATCACAGCTATCACAATGCTACAACTATAAGCTAGGATTGGCCGTGAAACACTTAGAAGCAAAGCTCCAGTGACAAGAAGTCCCATCCCATGTAGCCCTCAAGGAGTGGATCTTAAAGTCCCATTAATGAGCCCAATTCTCAGAGTCTGGTATTTCTAGAAGGCACCTGAGGAGTTAATAATGCACTAGAACCAGCAGAATGGTACAGAGCAGTGTTGACATTGATCGGTGCTCATAGTCCAACTCGGTATTTGTCAAGGAATTTGGTACTGAAAAGGGTTGAGTGACTTGATTTGCGCAAGGTCTGGCAGAATTAAAGCTTTCAATCTGTTTGCTTTTCCAGCCAAGGTGGTTACAACTTATCTCGATGGAGACCTACAGGGACTAGCTCTAATAAAAGATGTACACACCTACCACAGGACTGAGATGAGAGCCAGGCATTTAAATCCAAAATAGTAATCCCTGCGCAGCTGCCACCCAACCAGGAACATGTCTCAACTCAGAGGGCACCTCCCTTTCACATAACCTCCCCTCAGTACCTACAGTTTTACTTTGGTCATGCCCAGAACTGCCTTTGTTTGAGCAACCTGGCATCTTACTTGTACCTAAGCCCAGCCAGAATGACAAAAGAATTGCCTTGGACCCCTCAAAATACACTGCTGTACATGAGCAGAACAGGGCACTTCCCAAAATGCACTTTCCCAGGAGTGAGTCTGAATGCATTAGCACACCTCAGACAAGCAAAAATGAATTTTGGGTCTCTCAAGTGTTGGATTACTTCTCCTAGCCCTCAGGCTACTGTGAAAGGTGTTATGGCAGCAGCACTTCCATGTAAAAGGAAATCACTCCTCGCTAGAGGTTGTGAGAAAGAAGGAATGTGAGGAGATCTCACCATCTCTCCTGGTATAACTCCTCCTTTGACGCAAGGAACAGGCCAACCAACTGTTGGCATACAGAAGTGCAGTCCTATATAATGGTGGCAATGGGCACCAGTGAAAAAGTGGAAAATTTCTGATCCAGTGAGTTACAATTTAAAATACAGAAGTACTGCAGGGACGGGGGACAGGATGACCACCATGAATCCTCCAGGACTGCAAGTCTGTAAACCACGGAATGAGCGAAACATTGTCCTGCGTTGTCAAACCCGTCCCAAGGCTCGTTATCGGGCAGCAGGGCGAGGACAGGAGCATGGCTGATAAGAGCTCCCAACCAACAGCTCTGGCAGCTCAGGCCCTCATACAGCAAAGCATCCAAAAATGCGCATAAAAGGATGTGCTTAAACAGTTGAACAGAAGACGCTAAAAAAAGCAATGGTCTCCCTCTCCTAAGCCCCAGGTTTTTAAGGCAGGCTGCTTGCTGACAGCTTCTGCTACCCCACAGCCACCCGCTGCTCCTGAAACTACACATAAGGAATACCGTCTCCCAGGGCTGATACTGATCTTGCTGACATCGGAATATATCAGGAGTATTCCTAATACCATAAGTGGAATAATTACACAAGTTTTAAAAAACAAAAAAGAAGGGGGGTGAGGGGAGGAGTGGGGGGAGAGGGAGTGTTTGATACCAGACAAAGACACTCAGTGAGCAGCCATGCACATTCAGTTCAGTTTCATGAGTCATTTTCTGACACTTTTCTGAAGAATTTTGTCCAA